GGGGACATGGTTTAGTGGTGGCCTTGGCAGTGCTGGGTTAACGGTTGGACTCGATGATCTTAAGGGTCTTTTCCAACCTTAACGATTCTATGATTCTCTGATTCTATGACTTTGCTTTGCTAGTCAGCTCTCACCCGATGCAGCCATCTCTCCCGAAATCCTCTGTAAAGCAGCTGGGAGGCGTGAGCGTAAACTCCTGTCGTTCTTTCTCCTGTGCACAGAGTTTTCCTTTCCTGGTCCCGATGACAGCTCGTGGAGTAAATACGAAGAGACTCTGGCTGAAAGCCACGAGGGCTCTGAGGAAGAGGAAAGCATGGAGGTCCCCAGTACATGTGAGTTAGAGAGGCGGGCTCAGGCTCTTGGCGCTGGCCGGGGATCACCGGGGTGAGATCCTGCCTGCGCCGTGGTCTCTGCTGGGCTCGCCTCAAGAGTCAGCGTGGGCGCTGGATGGCAGCCGAGGCAGAAGGATGGCAGACGCACAGAAGAAGCTGCGGTACACGAGCAGCAGGCTGTAAAAGCAGCTGCGGGCTGGCTCGGGGGTGCGGATCACCTGTACGGTGTCGCATCACTCGGCAAGGTAGCGTGTTTGGCCAGCCTCGAAGCAGAGATGAGCGGGAGTGGGCAAGCTTCGATGGCGTTAGCAACAAAGTTCTTAAAAGTCTTTTCCAGGAGTGTGTAAAGTGATATTTTTCACAGCTTTCTCTGTCAGCCAAACGTGAGGCTTCTTGTGGCGCAGCGAAAGGGGTGTCCTTGTCACCACCCCATCACTCCAGCTCGCTGCTCTGGAGCACGGGGACACGGGAGCCGCTTTGGGAAGCGTCCCTTGCGAGGATGTGCTTTTGGCTTCCCGGTCTCCTTCTCAGAAGCAGCTCAACTGTTCTGGCTGATGCTTTTCCAGAATTTCAGCCTGATGCAAACAAAGCGGCCTGTTTTCAAGCCGTACCGTTAGATGTCTGGCAAAGTGACAGGCAGATGAAGAGCCCTGCGATAGGGAGTGCCGAGCGGTCTTCTCTGGGCACGCAAACGCTCGGCACGGCTTTACCTTCTCGCCTTCTGCAGAAACCTGTGGTTTTTTCAGCCCTCTTCTCCACATCCCCAGATCCTCTGGGCTCTTTTCATCCTCCATTTGCCAGGGTCCTTGGTGGTTGCTTTGAGTTGCCACTTACACCATGGGAGATCCTTCGGCCCCTGGCACTGTACAAGCCCAGAAAGAAAAGAGGTTTTATTCCCCTTCCCTCAATTTTTTTGCCTTTATCCTGAACAACGTTCTGAGAGGCCTGTTCTGTGCTCAGCGCTGGGCCCCTCACCCCAAGAAGGACACGGAGGGGCTGGAGCGTGGCCAGAGCAGGGCAGCAAGGCTGGGGCAGGGGCTGGAGCCCAAGGCTGGGGAGGAGCGGCTGGGGGAGCTGGGGGTCGGTCTCTTCTCCCCAGGAACAAGCGATGGGACGAGAGGGAACGGCCTCAAGCTGCGCCAGGGCAGGGTTAGGTTGGATGTTAGGGAAAATCCCTTCCCCAAAGGGCTGTCAGGCCCTGGCCCAGGCTGCCCAGGGCAGGGGCTGAGTCCCCATCCCTGGAGGGACTGAAAAGCCGGGGAGATGTGGTGCTTGGGGACATGGTTTAGTGGTGGCCTTGGCAGCGCTGGGTTAACAGCTGGACTTGAGGATCTCAAAGGTCTTTTCCAACCTAAACCATTCTATGTTTGTAAGTCAAAATACTTTGGCTTTTTCTGTGTTCCAGTACTGCTTAGGTAGCTCCCAGATGGGACTTGCAACCCT